CCTTTCTTTCGGATTAATTTTATTATGGCTTTTCTCATGCCTCTAGAAGATTCTCCTGCTATGACGGATTCGTTGAAAACTTTAATAAAGAATTACCTATAAAAAGCCAAAACTGAACCAACAAATCAAGCGTAAACCCATACATACTAGGATATGTTTGTTTGTTTTTTAGTAGAAAACACTAATTAATTCCTAAAACGTTACTGGTTATTCGAGAGAATATTTAACATATTTTGTTATTTCCAATAACTTATAAAATACAAACCACAATCCTGGTCAATAATTTATTCAAAAGAAAAGTTTTTGTTTAGTTTCTTTTATCAACATTTTCAAAGTCTGTGCTAACTTTATTTAAATCTTGAGTAACATTTCCATCTACTTTATTCAGAGTTTATTAACTGAACTTGTCGAGCATTTAGTTTCTATACTAAACCAAAAACAAAAATAAATTCATGTTTGCCTGTTTATTTTAAAGCAAAGACACACTGGGCTATCTGCTGTACCCACCGCTGGAAAACGAACCCGAATTTTAGCGTTGTAAGGCCGTGAACTTATCGCTGTCCCTCCAGGGGACGGAAATATAATGATAAGAAGTTAAGACAATAAGTATTTTATTCGCTGAAAGTTTCTGCGAATTGAATAATCTTTATCTATATCTTTACGAAGTTCATTTAACTGTATTTTTTTTAATGTGCATAATATTCGGGACGAGTCGGAAAAAGAGAAGATAATTTATTAAGACTTGAGCATGTTTATTAAAAAACACTTTCATATGGTGTCAATAAGCTCTTGTCTGAGTAATTTTGTCCTCCACTTGTTTTGGAAAAACAAAAATACAAAAATTCCACTACCTCATAAATGTAAATAATATTACTTAACAGATGGTTAATAAAAGACTAAAAGATAGTTAGATAGATAAGAAGACAGACAGATGACTAAGTCTCTCTCGTGCTTGTACTCTTCTTTCTAGATGCCAGAATCAAAATATATTTCTTCTACAGTTGGTTAGGTTTGTGGATTTAAAAAAACTCTAACTGTTACTACCTGTTTTGAGAAAATAATCCGAGCAACTTGAAACAGACGTCTGGCCAAGTAAGTAAAATATATAGTTATCACTTTGGTTATATGCATATGAACACAGTAATCCCGTGGATTTTACAGTTTGTGTGAAAAAGGTATGCTAGCTTTCATTTGTAGAAGTGTCAAAGTAGTTGATTAGTGCTTAATAGTGGCTGGGCATCGCCTAGTGGCTAATGTTCCGGTCTATGGTTCGTGTCCTGCTGCCGCAAAACAATCTTGCTACGCACTTGAATGTGTCATGAGAGTGATAGTCAAACACCACTACTTTATTAAATTAGCTTAAAAGTTGACCGTGGGTGCTGTTGATTAGATGACTTCCTTCATGTGAAAATTAAAAACGACTAGCATGGATAATCCCTGTGTAGCTGTGCTTGAATGTTCGAAAAAAACCAACAAACTTTGTTTTTTTTTAGAGCAAAGCTAAATTTTGCTATCTGCTTTGTCTACTGCGGGGAATCGAACCTTGGATTTTAGTATTGTAACTCCGTAAGATCACCACTGTCTCACTGGGGGACGTTTGTTTACTATCATCTCTTTGAAAATTGAGAAAATTCAATATTAATAGACAATAGTAAAGTAAGACCTAAAGCAAGAGTGTTGTTTTGATATCAAGTAAGACGTCAAACAAATATTTTGAATACACAAACAGGGATGTAGCTGGAACCTTAGCCTTGTGTAATCATTCCAGAGGAATGGGCCTTCATATATATATATATATATACACATTCAATGGTTACGTTATAGTGAAAGGACATGCAGCAAGCAAATGAGTGTCGTAAATTCATTCAAGT